GATTGTGACACCGTGCTGGAGCCAAATTGTAAATGTTAAACACCTAAAAGTATACACCAATGGCTCCAACACGGTGATAAATTATACGACGAACTAGCATGAAATACAATTCCGACGTATGCATGAAAGATATGATAAATGATATGTACGGAACGCTAGCGGAGTTATATTAAATGATAATGAAAATGGATGGAACGAACATGTTCATCACAAATATAAGCGTGGTAGGTTGTAACATTAAAACAGTCCTATGTCAATGGCATTTTGGGGCATGGACTTGGCAATCAATAACAAATGTGAACATGGCAAGTTGTAGCCAATAGATGCGATAAGAAATTTATTAGAGGTAGATGGATATCCAATGTTCTTGGTGCCTAACAATTATTATGTCGTACAAATTATTGCTCATTCCCGTTCTTCTTGAAAGACTTTTAGAATTCAAGATTTTTTGGTCAATATTTCATAGCTTTTTCTTTAAGGTAGCCAGATTGACCTTGTTCTAAGAATTCTTGTTCAAGGGAACGTTTTATGTAACGGTCCAAATTCACGGTTACCAAATATTGTCCTCTTTGGACTTTCCCTTTTCAATTTCCACACTGTTATAAAGATGTTTCGTTCTACCCAATCGATTTGGGATCTCACACTATATATACATAAAATAGTTCTTTTACGACTTTGAAATTACTATGTTTTTTTTATAACGATCCTATTTTTTCTACTAAAATAGAGTCGCTATACATGACATAACTGTTAACGGTGGAAAATATCTTGAGATTTCAAAAGTGTTTAGTGTCTATATATAACCAGAAACTGTCTATTTACAACTCATAAACTAGCATGTTTATCTAAGCTAATAGACGACATTATTCAATGTGAAAGTGTTGAGATTTATGACCTAAAGTGTCATTATTGGGACTAAAAATGTAAAAAAAAAAATCGTCTTCAACCTTCAAATTTGATGTGTTCAGAGCATTGGTTGAGAATCCTTTCCGAACTATTGATCTAGGCTTTTGAATCACCGGACCCATAATCTAGAAAGAATCAAAAGTATAATTTATGGGCTAAAAAATAACCTTTTCCTTGAAATGGAGCGTTTAGGTGTTGGAATACTTCTAAAAATGGTTCGATCTACTTTATGAGATTATTTGAATAAATCTTGGGAAGGAATCTCAAAGAGAAAAATGTTTAGAAGATCCATTTTCAATTAAGTCCAAGAATGGTAAGAAACCGATTGGAAAGATCACAACTTTGATGAAGAAATCGAGTTCGGTAGAACAAGATATGATAATTGGAAGAAATTAGGAAAGATCACAATTTCGGGAAAACGGAGGAAATCTATAAATTCTCAAAAATTGTTTGAAATTCATATGCAAACGTGTTCATAGGAGATTGAACTCGCGTTGTATGACACAAGAAGTTTGAAGCTCATAGCAAGCGGAAAAGTAAACTCGAGACAAATATCGTCCAAAGTAGCCCTTCTAACTTTCTCAAGTAATACTTGTAGAGATCACTAGGACATGCAAACGTACGAGCATATCTTATCTTAGGTAGTTATAATATGCATGATTAAGACTCTGGAGGGACAATTTGGATCACGGTGCCATGGATGGTGTATACAAAAATGCCTCTAAGATTATAACCCGAATATTTGACTATTTGATTTGTGTTTGTTTGCAAACATTTAATATTTTTTTATCTAAGATTATATCGAAAAGTTATGAATTATGGATAAATAAAAGTTTTTAAAAAATTAATTTTTTTTAACCATGGCACCCAACCATAAAATATAGTGTTACTAATCAAACTAACCCGAATTTTTGGGTTGGTTCAAAAACTTCTCTCAACCCAACCCAACTCAACCCGGCCTATGTACGCTTCTAACTCAAACTAAACCCTTACTTACAAAAGAAAAAAATATATATATGAATATTTAGAATTTGCAATCGATATTAGTGATGCAATGTAACTTATAAATATCTGATATTTAAACTTTATGCAGGTTTTAATTATGTAATATGTACGGTGGATAAGTATGTTTTTTTTAAATAATTAAAAAACAAAAACAAACCATCTAATAGTTCAACCTAACTTAACCCGAAAATTGAAAGAGTATAATAAACACGTTATTAAGTTAACACAATCTTAATAATCGAAGGACTAAACTTATATATATTTGCAGATATACCCTCCAAAGTTTTGAATTTACCATTGATGTGGAAAATGTCAAATCCACCCATACTATGTCATAATGGCTGAAGTTATTACATGTTCCAACCTCATATTTAAGAATATATCACCTTCCATTTCTTTTAATTGAAGATGGGTATATATTTATTATATGGTAGGGATTTATGGTTGATTAATTAACTTTGGGGGACCATTTTGCAATTTCTAAAACTTTACTTTTAAGGCAAAAGCTTAAGCTACTCGATAACGAGGGGGCCAGCCTCCGGAGAGGTTTAATGGGCGTCCTAATTTTGGTCATAATTCACCTAAAAAAACGGCCAATTTTTCCCTATGCATGTGCACGTTTAATCACCTAAAAATAATTGGCGTACCAGATATTGTCTTCTTTGGGCTTTCACTCTCGGGCGTAATGTTTTTAAAACACGTCTGTTGGAGAGAGATTTTTACACCCTTATAAAGGGTGTTTCGTTCTCCTCCCCAACCGATGTGGAATCTCGTACTATCGTTATTAACTAGCACCTCGAATTATATCTATAAGAAAGGAAGTGTAGCACGAGTAAGTAGCTTGCTAAACTTAAGAGACTTACCATTGATCTGGGCTTCCTTGTTTCATACCGTGTTCAGGAATCTTAGGGTGTTATGATTCACTCTTTCTTTTCTATGTTTTTATAATTATGCTTTATCATATACTCTATGTGCTCGTAGTTCCAAACTCGCTTCGACCATCTACGAATCGTCTATTCGACTCCCTAATTCCTAAAATAGCATACAGACTAATAGTTAGGCATACTCATGACCCTAATTTAGCACTTGGTGCATCGGTCAATTAGTCCCCCAGGGTTAGTAGACTACATAGTTAGACTCAACGTTGGACTAGCAAACTATCGAGGTATATTGTATACATCCATGCCCCTTTTTTTTAGGGCAGGTTCATTGTAGTCTAGGTGGCGTCCTTTTAATAGTCCCCACATTGTATATTCATCATCTAGGGAAATCACCCTGTATCACTATCAGATAGTAAATCATTATGTAGACCCCTATGAGTCAGGTTGACGTATAAGGATTGGCTAGCAAAACCCCTATTCATCCCCACGTAGCAAAGAAAGTGTTATAAGACAATAAGCATAATTCAAGAGAAACACAATATGTTCGCTAATCAAGGAACCCGAACATTCTCTTACTTCAATCTTAGTCTCCCAAACAGACGCTCATGTGGGCCTAAAATAACACATTGCATGTAACTTAAACTCTAACATCGATCTAGCAAATTCATCCTACTCCACGCTTGTAAGAGTGAAAACTATTCCCACAAACCAACACGAGTCCTTTCAGCATACTTCATGCCCACTCACTTGCATCCTAGAAAAATTCTCAAGAGGTCACCCAACATAAAATTGCTCAAAACAAAGCACATTTAATCGTGAAGTTTCCATAATTGAGCCACCGAAAAGAAAGGTACACCTTGTTGGTATAAGTCACTCCGTTATCTTATCCTCAGGATCGCTCTCATTCAAATATGGCTTTAGTTCATTCATGTATCCCTTTGTTACTCAGTTGTTACATGTCCACCAATTTTCACTTTAGTTCGTCCATTAACCACATCTTATTGGGTTAAAACATGGTTTTACCTAGGCCCCAATTTGACAAGATGCAACAACTTTAACCAAGTTAGGCCAAAGATCTAGAGAAGTATGACAACTTTTGTCTTCTCTTTTGACTTTCATAATTTACTAATTAATAAACCCGTTTGTTGCTTTGATGATAATCATACTAAATGTTATTGTCAAAATCTGGATCGAATAATGAACCTGACCTTCACTTGACAATGATACAAAACTTTTTGAAAGAGAGAACGTGAGTTGCAAAACAAGAAAAACTTACCCATCAATATGATATTTGTCATAAAGGCTTCAATGTTTAAATTAACTAGAAGAAATTTAGTCTAGCGAGGATTTAAGAAATAGAAACAATATTATGTATTAAAAAAACGTTCGCATTCTTCAACTTAAACAATAGTATTTATTATGATCAATTATCGATTTTTGCCGACTAAACTAAATTGAGCTGAACCAAATTAGGATCGTAACTAAAAAGGGAAACTTGGGCGGATTGAGGTCGGGGAGGAAAACACCTCAATCATGCAAACGACTCTCCAAACGAAAACAAACTATCAAATCGAATACAAAATTTGTAATACTTATTCAATTTTAAGGTACAATTTTCAATGAAAATGTGTGATATGAACTAAGATATCAAATCATGCCATGTGAACTTCAAGAAAAATTCTTGAATGATTACAAATTCTGGGCAGAAGATAATTTGAGTTATTGTATTTCATTAATATATTTTAAGATTTTTTTTTTACTTTTAATTACATTTACACAATGGCCATAAACTAGAAAAGTTATAGTTTTTTAAATATCTCAGGAAAGGTAACGGTTTGATATTTTAAACGGTATAAAGTCATACATGTCGTCTTTATAAAAATAGTATTTGTGCGTTTCTTTAGCCAATGACAAATTTCTTTTGCAATTCTACATAGTTTAAGTTGCATGTTTAGAATCATTCAAGCTTGACACGATCGATCTTACTTGTGGAGTGATTCGAATTTGTATTCTTACCTTGAACTATTTGATCAACAAGGTAATCTGAATCTTATCATTTGATATCAATCAAATTCAGATTTCTACCCACCCTCGAAGGCTCGAGGGTGTTTGAAAAAGTAATACACATAAAGTAAAAAGAAGTAGCTATTAACATATTGATTAAGATCATTAATTTCCAACCAACCCAAACTTACCACAATAATCTTTAGTGAGAAAATGAGCATCCATCCATTCCAACCAACTTTCTCTCTCTTTGTTGCTTAGTTTTTATCAGCCAAATGTATATATAAAAATGTGATTTCATATGCGTTCTTCTTGCTCTCTCCGTCGCTCTCCATTGCTTGTTCTTCAGAAATTGATATCAGTTCATAAGCCATAAGGCCTTGCCTTGGCGCTGCTCCATATCCATAACTCATATCTAATGGATTTGTTCAATTCTCGTGGGGTGGCTTACAAGCCTGCCAAAGATGTCGATTTGAGTCCCACCAGCTCTGAATTCTACCTCACAGCCAATGTCAAAGGTTTCTCTTTTCTCTCTCTCTCCTCTCCTTTTTTTTTCTCTCTCTCTTCGGTTGACTTATGGCTGTATTTGATGGAACTCTCATGGGTCTTGGTCCGATCTTTTTTGGATCTTTTTTGTTTCTACCTGTTGTGTGTTTGGTGGGAATTCTAAAGGGTCTCGGCGTCAGATTTTTCGATTTCTACGTTTTGTGTGTTTGGTGGGGAATTCTTACGGATTTCGGTCGGATTTCTCGGTTTCTACATTTTGTGTTTATTGGGAATTCTAATGGGTCTCTATCCGATTTTTTGGTTTATACGTCTTGCGTGTTTGGTGGGAATTCTAATGGGTCTTGGTCTGTTTTCTCGGTTTCTACATTTTGTTTGTTTAGTGGGAATTCTAATGGGTCTCGGTCGGATTTCTAGGTATCTACATTTGGCGTGTTTGTTGGGAATTCTAATGGGTCTCGGTCGGATTCCAGAGTTTCTATGTTTTGTGTGTTTGTTGAGAATTCTACTGGGTCTCGGTTGGATTTTTCGGTTTCTAAGTTTTGTGTGTTTGTTGGGAATTCTAATGGGTCTCGGTCAGATTCTTCAGTTTCTACGTTTTGTGTTTGTTCGAAATTCTAATGGGTCTCGATCGGATTTCTCGGTTTCTCCGTTTTGTGTGTTCAGTGGAATTCTAATGGGTCGGTCAGATTTTTCGGTTTCTACGTTTCCTTATTCTAATTGGAACAACCCATTGTTCCTCTAGATTATTCCGTAGAATTTTAGATGTTATTTTAGTCTCTATACTCTTAAAACGTCTTAATAATAGAAAAATTACTATCGAAAAAAATGGGCCAACCTAAATATTCCTTAATAAACCTTAATAAATTAAAGCCAAGGTTAGTTGGACAATGAAAAGGGCATTACCAGGAGAGGTGTTTTCAGATTTTTAGGAATTTTTCTAATTTTTTGTAAATTTAATGCTTTTAATTCTCTGTCTGAAAAATTACTAAATTCATATGCAACCTTGTCCCTCTCATGCTTGTAACCTAAATTAGATATATATATATAAAAAATGTTATTTATTTTTAATTTCTTTCCTAAATAATTTTAAATAAAAATTTATTAGATTGCTCGACCGAAAACAAATCTGACAATGACCTGAAACAACAGAGCCGTGATTAAAATGAACACGTAAAAAAAATAATATTTAGTCGCTTTTTTTTTTTTTGGGTTATATTCCAATAATATTTTTAAATAATAAATGAGAATTATGATTAATCAATTGTTATAATAATTACTAATATATAGGTTTAGAAAATAATTAATTAAGTAAGAAATGGATCAAATTAATTTTAGAAATTATTTAATTATTTAAAATTTATTTTTAGCTCCTCGAATGGTTGGAATAGTGGTGAAAATATTTGCGTGGGTCCTAGAAATGAGGATTTTGGGGAAATTGCTGTTGTACGTTCTCAAGGCCAATAATCTCATTTACAAGGTACATTTTCTTCTCTCTCTCATATTTAATATATGTATATATGTGCCTAAAATTATGATAAAAATATTATTCAATATTGACGTTGATGTCGGTCTCGAGGGTAATTTTGTAATTTCCTGGTTTTAAACTCGAGCATACACTTATTGCCATCTTAAAAGGTGATGACGGGATCTATTTCCTCAGAATTGTTAGGCAAAAAAAACTTATAATAGGAGTTGAATTCTCTATTTTTAAAATATTATAATTATCTTAAGAATTGAGCTGTAATTGTTAGGCAGAAAGAATCGTGATAGGAGTCGAATTCTCTATTTTAAAAATAATATTGACGTTGATGTCGGCCTAAAGGGTAATTTTGTAATTTGCTGGTTGTTAACTCGAACATACCTAATTAACAATACACTTATTGTCATCTAAGAAGCTGATGGCTCGATTTATTGTCTTAGAACTGTTAGGAAAGAAATTTGTAGTAGGAGTCGAATTCTCTATTTTAAAAATATTATATTGGTTCGATCTATTTTTAAAATATGAGTAAAATCACGTAAGGTTAAAATGGTAATTTAACTTTATATTTATATTATTATTGTTATTATTGGTGAAATTTTGGTCGTTGGTTGGTGACTTGGGTACAAAACCTGACAGCTCTTTTTTAACTTTTGTCTTGTTTTACAATTTTTCTTTTTTTAATTTCTCTGAAAAATATTTATTATTGTATTTTTTTTTATAAAAATAAGATGATTGTTCTTGTTTGCTGTTCAGCTAGTTTGGAAGTGCTTAGTACAGTACAAAATATAATGTCATATTTTATAAATGATTAATTTTTTTAAATAATATATATATATATATATATATATATCAAATTTAAATTTGAAAGATTTAGGGGGATTCAATTTTTTTTTTTAATTTTTGTAATATATTTCAATTATTATAGAAAAAATTAAAATAGGATTTTTTTTTTTTTTTTTTGGAATAAATTGAATGCTGAAGTAAAATTATAATATTTAAAACATTATTTGATAATTTGTCTGCTATGAGAGGTTTTATAAAAAAATGTTTCATTCCCCTTTCCAACCGATATGAGATCTCAGAACCTCACTCCCTTCGGGGCCAGCGTCCTCATTGACACTCGTTCTTTTCTTAAAACGATGTGGGATCTCACAATTCGTTGAGCCCAAATAGTTATTTCGAGAGAATAGTTGAGGTAGGCATAAGCTAACACAACACTTAAAAGATATAAATAACCTAACACTTGGTTTTTCTATTTGGTTAAGGTTACTTTATTCTTGCTTTCAGTTGTGAATATGAACTTTGTATATTTGATGCCATTTTCTATTGTTTACTAACATCAAAGTTATGCAGCTCGTTGGAAATGCGGAGATAGAAGAATCGCCTGTTTTTTTACCCTCGCATCCTGTAGAAGGTATGCTATCTTTCTCATTTTTCATTTTGTTCTTAATTTATCTTGTAACAATCTTGTGAAACTCCACGTCTGTTGGAGAGAGGAACGAAGCATTCCTTACAAGGGTGTGGAAACCTCTTCCTAACAGACGCATTTTAAAAACCGTGAGGCTGACGGTGATACAACGGACCAAAGCAGACATTATCTGCTAGTAATGGGCTTGGGTTGTTCCAAATGGTATGGAGCCATACACTAGGTGGTATGCTAGCGAGGACGCTGACCCCTAATGGGGGTGGATTGTAAGATCCCACATCGGTTGGAGAGGGGAATGAATCATTCCTTATAAGGGTGAAGAAACCTCTCCCTAACAGACGTGTTTTAAAAATCATGAGGCTGATGGTGTAATGGGCCAAAACGGATAATATCTTCTAGTAGTGGGTTTGGACTGTTACAAATGGTATCATAGCCAAACAAACATTGAGTGGTGTACCAGCAAGGACATTGACCTCCAAGGGGGTGGATTGTGAGATACTACTTAGGTTGGAGAAGAGAACAAAACATTCCTTATAAGGGTGTGGAAACCTCTCCCTAACAGACGTATTTTAAAAATCGTGAGGTTGACGGCATAACGGACCAAAGCGGACAATATTTGCTAGCAATGGACTTGGGCTGTTACAAATGGTATCAAATCCAAACACTGAACGATGTGCTAGCGAGGACGCTGGCCCCGAAGGGGGTGGATTGTGAGATCCCATATTGATTGGAGAGAGGAACGAGTGCCAGTGAGGATGTTAAGCCCCCAAAGGGAGTGGATTGTGATATCCCACATCGGTTGGAGAGGGGAACGAAACATTTCTTACAAAGGTGTGAAAACCTCTCCCTAACAGATGCGTTTTAAAAACTGTGAGGCTGACGACGATACATAACGGGCTAAAGCGGACAATATCAACTAGCAATAGGCTCGGTAAATAGCTCAAGAAACACATATCTTTCCTTAATGAAAAATTACTTTGCAGAAAAAGAAAATGAGGAGGTGAAGTACATAGGCGTGGCTCTGTCTGAAACAGAACAAGTTCAAGAGGCAGTTAGTTGTCTGCCTTCATGGTCAGACACAGAAGTGGATTCCTTAAACCCTTCATTTCACAGATGGACAATAATGGACTATTCAACAGCATATCGTTCAAGAAAAATAACTCCTCTAACTGTAAGACAATTTTTAGCTTCTCATGTTTTTCTTGTTCATCATGTTCTCTTCATATGAGCTTTGGATCTTCTTTTGTTTTATAGGTTGCAGAGAGATTCATAGCAGCTGTGAGTGAATCATCCAAACCTCCATTGAACATGTCATTCTTCATTAATTATAATGTCGAAGACATTCTCAAGCAAGCAGCTGAATCAACTAATCGTTATGAGCATGGTACCTATTAGCCTTGGGAGAAAAGTTCATGTGTTCTAGACTATTATCTTGTCATTAGTTTCTTGTTGTTCTTATGAAAAGTTGTTCGAGTTTTTCCTCTCGTTCTTACTCGTTATTCTGATTCGTCCCAGGACAACCCCTTTCAGTTCTAGATGGAGTGCCAATTGCTGTCAAGGATGAAATAGATTGTCTACCATATCCAACAACAGGTAACTTGGCGTTTCTCAGTTTTTCGTGTCGAGTCGTTCTCATGAGTATATTTGTAACGCCCCAGATCCACCGCTAGTAGAAATTGTCTTATTTGGGCTTTCCCTTTCGGGCTTCCCCTCAATCTGTTAGGGGAAGGTTTCCACACCCTTATAAAGGGTGATTTGTTCTCCTCCCCAACCAACGTGGGACATCACAATCCACCTCCCTTCAGGGCCCAGCGTCTTCGTTGGCACTCGTTCCTTTCTCCAATCGATGTGAGACCACCACCAAATCCACTTCACTTTGGGGTCCAGTGTCCTTACTGACACACCGCCTCGTGTCTACCCCCTTTGGGGAACAACGAGAAGGTTGGCACATTGTCTGGTGTCTGGCTCTGATACCATTTGTAACGCCCCAGATCCTCCACTAGCAGATATTGTCCTTTTTGAACTTTCCCTTTCGGGCTTCCTCTCAAGGCTTTAAAATGCGTCTGCTAGGGGAAGGTTTCCACACCCTTATAAAGGATGATTTGTTCTCCTCCCTAACCAACGTGGGACATCACAATATTTTATTTTATTGCTTGATAGCGCCTTGTTCTTGTAGGGGGGACGAGTTGGTTGCACAAACTAAGACCTTGTACCAGTGATGCAAGCTGCATACGATACCTCAGGTTATGTGGAGCTCTAATTGTTGGTAAAACCAATATGCATGAACTTGGTATTGGAACAAGTGGAATAAACCCTCATCATGGGTGAGAAGATCTGATGTTTTCTTGCTTCTTTATGAACTGTCAAATACTATAGTACTACCCCTTGCACATTGTTCATAAAATATAGTGTCTAGACATTACATCATGACATGGTTCCTCATTAAACTCCAAGGTTTGATCTAAGATGGTATATTTTATGAATGGCTCATGTAGGTCGACGAGAAATCCGTATAATACGAGCAGGATATGTGGAGGTTCTTCTAGCGGATCGGCTGCGGTTGTTGCTGCAGGACTATGTCCTGCTGCTTTAGGTGTTGATGGAGGAGGTAATTTTGTTTATGAATAAGGCAGTGCTAGAGGCTTTGATTATGATTAGATTAATAAGAAAGGGATGAAATTATAAGCTTAAAAGGATGAATATGAAGTCAACAAACATGAAATATAGGGATATAAGGTATGATTTAACCTAATAATAATATTACCTTTGATGGACTAGCTTTTCTCATACCACTCTCTAATCTCTCTTTATATTTCCATGTTGATCCTTAGTTTATCTTTTCTTTAAAATTTGATAATAGAAAGAATGTACGTACGAAGAAAGTATCTGTGAGATCCTACATTGGTTTGAGAAAGGAACGAGAAGCATTCCTTACAAGGGTGTGGAAATCTCTCCGTAGCATACGCGTTTTAAAAATTTTGGGGGTAGCCCGGAAGGGAAAGTTCAAAAAGGATACTATCTACTAGTGGTGGGCTTGAGATATTACAAATGGTATTAGAGCCTGACGCTAGGTGGTATACCAGTAAAGATGCTGGACTCCCAAGGGGGTGGATTATGAGATCCCACATCGGTAGAAGAAGGGAACGAAACATTCTTTATAAGGGTGTGAAAATCTCTCCCTAGCATACGCATTTTAAAAACCTTAAGGGAAAGCCCGAAAGGGAAACCCCAAAAAGGATAATATCCGCTAGCGGTTGGTTTGGGCTATTACAAATGGTATTAGAGCCAGACATTGGGTGGTGTGCTAGAAAAGACGCTGGGCCCTCAGGGGAGGTGGATTGAGAGATCCCATGTCGGTTGGAGAGGGGAACGAAGCATTCCTTGTAAGAGTGTGGAAACCTCTCCCTAGCAGATGCATTTTAAAAATCTTGAGAGGAGGCTCGGAAGGGAAGGCCCAAAGAGGATAATATATGCTAGCAGTGGGCCTAAATCGTTAGAAATGGTATTAGAGCCAGACATCGGGCGGTGTGCTAGCAAGGACGCTGGGCCCTTAGGGGAGGTGGATTGTGAGACCCACGTCGATTGGAGAGGGGAACGAAGCATTCCTTATAAGGGTGTGAAAATCTCTCCGTAGCAGACCCATTTTAAAAAACCTTGAGGGGAAGCTCGGAAGGGATAACCCAAAAAGTATAATATCTGCTAGTGGTGGACTTGGGCTATTATAAATGGTATCAGAGCCACACACCAGGCAGTGTGCTAGCAAGAACGTTGGACCTCCAAGAGGGTGGATTGTGAGATCCCACATCGGTTGGAAAGGGATACAAAGAATTCCTTATAAGAATGTGGAAACTTTTACCTAAGAGACGCGTTCTAAAAACTTTAAAGAGAAGCCCAAAAAGGATAATATATTCTCCCTTTTGAAACAAAAAGTATAATTGAGGTCGAACAATCTAATTAACAATGGGTCCTAATTCCATTGAGGATGACATTATTAACTAAAAACAACTAGCTCTTACAGAAATTTATGTGCATCAAGATATTTAATGAAGTTGGTGTCTTCAAGAACCTGTGCAGTATTTTATATATGTAACAACTGAACTCTCTTCATTGGTAATTTTATAAAGGATCTGTGAGAATCCCTGCATCTCTTTGTGGAGTTGTCGGTCTGAAGCCAACATTTGGGCGTGTTCCTCATTCTGGGTGATAACTTATGTCTACATTTATGCCTTTGAAAATTCAATATGATTTGGGCACTCACATTCTGTGTTTTCAGTGTTCTTCCTCTGAATTGGACTGTTGGGATGGTAGGGATACTGGCTGCCACGATTGAGGACGCGTTTATTGTGTAAGTGTTCTTTCTTTTCTTCATGTTCTTGATGCAAATTGAGAGAGTTTTGATGAAATTTTTTTGGATCTTGATGTTCTATTCAGTTATGCAGCCATAAGCAGCAAAATTCCTTCGCATCAGAATGCTATACTGGTAAGTGCTTGTTTGAAGTTTGTTGGAAGTCAGTGGGATCCCATATCGGTTGGGGAGGAGAATGAAACGTTTATAAGGGTGTGGAAACCTCCCCCTAGTATACGTGTTTTAAAAACCTTGAGGGGAAGCCCGGAAGGGAAAGCCCAAAGAGGACAATATTTGCTAGCGGTGGGCTTAGGCTGTTACAAATGGTATCTGAGCCAGACATCGGGCGGTGTGCCAACAAGGACGTTGGACTCCCAAGGGGGTGGATTGTGAGATACCACATCGATTGGAGAGGGGAATGAAGCATTCCTTATTCGGGTGTGGAAATCTCTCTCAAGTAGATGCGTTTTAAAAACCTTGAGGGGACGCCTGGAAGGGAAATCTCAAAGAGGACATGTGAGATCCCACCTTGTCAGAGAGGGGAACGAAGTATTCCTTATAAGGATGTGGAAACCTCTTCCTAGCAAACGTGTTTTAAAACCTTGAGGGGAAGCCTAGAAGGGAAAGTTCAAAGAGGACAATATTTGCTAGTGATGGGCTTGGGCACTTACAAATAGTATCAGAGCCAGACACCGGGCGGTGTGCCAACAAGGACGCTAGGATCTCAAGTGGGTGGATTGTGAGATACCACATCGGTTGGAGACACGAACAAAGCATTCCTTATAAGGGTGTTGAAACCTCTCCCTATCAGACGCGTTTTAAAAACCTTGAGGGGAAGTCCAGAAGGGAAAGCCCAAAGAACATAACATCTACTAGCGGTGCATTTGGGCTGTTACAAATGGTATATAGCTAGACAATGGATGGTGTGCCAGCAAGGACGCTGGCCCCTGATGGATTGTGAGATACCTCATTGGTTGGAGAGGGGAACGAAGCATTCCTTATAAGGGTGTGGAAACCTCTCCCTAGCAGACACGTTTTAAAAACCTTAAGGGAAAATCCAAGGACAATATCTGCTAGCGGTGGGCTTGGACCGTTACAGATACTGTGACTGAAACGATTCAAATGTGTACGACTATCATCCTTACACGATCCTTTGTTTGCATATACATGTTTTCATATGTCTTCTATACATGTCATGATCCTTTGTTTATACCTTTTCCATTCACCTTTATGAGCGTTCAGCCCAAACTTTGTTTCCCATTACTGAACACATCAAGACCAATACCTTCGGTTACAATGGCAAAGTATGGTGAGGTTAGTAATGCAACATTAACTTACACGATGTTCATAATCAATATAGTAATGTTTTCAAATCATCTCATTTCTTCTTACACCACTAATTGAGATAATTAGTGGTTTAACGACTGCAGTGATGATATCAGAATTTGCTGTTCTAATGCCTTGGACAAACTTCAAAAACATCATGGCTGGAAGGTACGAAAACCCGACATACTGTTTTATCGGTCCCTTTTCGATGAAGTAACATAAAGTATGCATGCTGAGGTGATCTTCTTGTTTACTGTAAAGATGGTCGAGGTGACGATTCCCGAGATAGAAGTGATGCGTTTAGCACATTATTCGACAATTGCATCCGAATGCAGCACTGCATTGAGTTCTTATCTCGAAAAGCTGTACGTTAACTTCAGCCTCGATATTTACCTATCATTTAACGTTCGATATATCTCGACTCGACTCAACCTATTGAAACAGGGATTCCTCACAACTAGGATGGGATGCAAGAGTAGCACTTGCTGTTTATGGCTCTTTTGGTAGTAAGGAGTACATAAAAGCTCAGAAGATTAGGTAATTTAGAAACAATATTTTTATCGTCTTCACTAAATCATTTTGTCGAAAGATGGAACGGATAAGAAATCGTGTATGTTTGCCAGATGTTCACGAGCTTTTTGTGTCTTTAATAATTTCGAGAGAAATAAGTGTTTGGATCGCACAACAACACACACACTCGATCTAGATGAACACAAAGAACATGAGAGAGAAAATACAAGGAGGAATATTGGCTAGAGGTTTATATCGACGACTTCAAGTATGTATAGTAGTAAAAGAGAATACAGAGAATCCAAAAAGTATATGCACTCGGTATATATATAGTTCAGTTTATTATAATATAGTTTTACCACATATAACCATCTACTATATATAACTATCTACTATATATAGCCTCTATATACGACCATTTACTATATTTACCATATATAGCTCAAGCAGGAGGCTCCTAACCTGATAAAAGTTGAAATGTTATCGGTTCATTTTATTTGGTATTAAATGGTTACAAATGTTTACAGGAATCGCCAAATGTATTTTCATCGGAAAATACTAGCACATGCTGATGTCATCGTGTCACCGACAACCGGGTACTTTTCAGTGACCTCTTTACGAACTTTTAACTGGATTTATAGTTCATGTTCATTACTGGCTTGAAGAGATGAATGGATCTTAACTAGCAGAGTTAGAGTTAATCTGGACACTATCGAGGCATGAACCATTCCGTGTCCATGCTGAGTCGTTTCTACACACTATGTCAAAGTCCAACCTATGATGCAACCTTCGACCCATGGGAAGGGGCACAATGTCGGCACACTTGTCCCACCCAAGTCTTTGCAATCTCGTTCCCAAAGGAAGACGCCCAAGACACTCATTTTTCAATGCTTATCCAAACCATAACAGACACATTTGTCATGAGTAGCTCACTTAAGTCATGAGGTGGCTCACTTAAGCACGAGACCTAGGAGTAATAAATATCCTATATCATGCCTCCCTATATAGTACATTCTACGCATTATAGGTCTAACACTCATGCACATCAAAACGGTGAGGATTCATATGCCAACGTGGAGCGTCTATCTAGTGTTCAATTGACACCAAATCTGACGAGCTTGCATCTTACACTTACATGCACTCAACTCCGTTGCTTCTCTTCTTGCTTGCGTCTTTGTTTGGCTTTCTTGTACACTCTTCTTGATGTGTTAGATGATGCACCGTCCTCTTCAATTTCATTGTGGCACTTCTCTCTCGACCATTAACATGGTCAGACGAGCGGCACTGTTGTTTGTACGTGGGAGTCATGACCTACTCTTTTCTAACAAGTTGTTATATTCTAATATTTATACTCTATTAACCAGTGTAACTGCTTACCCTATCTTGAATGATGCTCTCAAGACTGGAGAACTTGACTACATTAATGGAGGTACGAGCCTACGTTCGTTCACGCCTGCGCTCGTTCGAACTGTTTTTTAAATTTACAACTTCATGATCCATGTATAGAGTTTTTTCAATTAAGTGCTTCCTATCATGAACTATAAGCAAGTGGAAATGGATAACTTTGTATCATATTTCAGCTGCACTTGTTAGATACTCAATAGCTGGGAACTTCCTTGGATTGCCTGCAGTAACTGTTCCAGTAAGATATCAATGAGTTCATCCTTTGATGTTCTTGTTTGGGGTGTCATAATTTACTGGACTTGTTCTTTGTGAAAACTTTGTGTTTACAGATTGGATATGATAAAACTGGTTTGCCAATTGGCCTCCAGTTCATTGGCAAGCCTTGGTGTGAAGCAACGCTCATTCATATAGCATATGCAATGCAGGTAAGCTTTGGTTTGATAGCAATATTTATAGTTTTGTACACTGTAGATCTGGTTGGAGAGGGGAACGAAACATTCGTTATGAGGGTGTGGAAACCTCTTTCTAGTAAACGCGTTTTAAAACTTTGAGGAGAAGCCCGAAAGGGAAAGGCCAAAGAGGACAATATGTACTAGCGGTGGGCTTGAGCCGTTAGAAATGGTATTAGAGCCAGACATCGGGCGGTGTGCCAGCAAAGACGCTGGTCCCCAAGGGGGTGGATTGTGAGATCCTACATTGGTTGGAGAGGGGAACAAAACATTCCTTATAAGGATGTGGAAACCTCTTTCTAGTATACGTGTTTTAAAACCTTGAGGTGAAGCCCGGAAGGGAAATGCCAAATAAGACAGTATCTGCTAGTGGTGGGCTTGAGCCATTAGAAATGGTATTAGAGCCAGACACTGGGCGGTGTGCCAGCAAAGACTCTGGTCCTCAAGGTGGTGGATTGTGAGATCCTACGTTGGTTTGAGAAGGGAACGAAATATTTCTTATAAGTGTGTTGAAACCTCTTCTTAGTAGACGCGTTTTAAAACCTTGAGGGAAAGCCTGAAAGGAAAATCCCAAAGAGGACAATATCTACTAGCGGTGGACTTGGGCCATTAGAAATGGTATCAGAGCCAGACACTGGACGGTGTGCTAGCAAGGACGTTGGCCCCCAAGGGGGGGTGGATTGTGAGATCCCACATTGGTTGGAGAAGGGAACGAAGCATTCCTTATAAGGGTGTGAAAACCTCTTCCTAGTATACGCATTTTAAAATCTTGAGCGAAACCCGAAAGGAAAAGTCCAAAGAAGACAATATCTGCTAGCAGTGGGCTTGGGCCGTTAAAAATGGTATCAGAGCCAGACATCGGGCAGTGTGCCAACGAGAACGCTGGCCCCCAAGGGGGTGGATTGTGAGATCCCACGTTGGTTGGAGAGGAGAACGAAACATTCTTTATAAGAGCGTGGAAACGTCTTCCTAGAAGACACATTTTAAAACCTTGAGGTGAAGTCCGAAACAGAAAGTCCAAAGAAGACAATATCTGTTAGCGGTGGGTTTGAGCGGTTAGAATATGAGTCTCCTCCCGCTCAACCGCTCAAACTAAGATCCCCCTGTTGTTGATTTTTGGTTTCAGGCTCTCTGTGTTGCTGATTACAAAAAGCCAGAAGTTTTCTACGATCTTCTGACACAAAAATAGCTTGCTGCGACAACTTATATGTTGTGCTGTGATTGGCATATGTTATCCAAAGCTTGTTTCTGTGTGTTCTTGACTACTTATTAGGGTTCATAAACTCGTGAAACTTATAATTTAGTCTCTATTTTCGATTTGGTGGGTGATTCTGACTTGTCGTATTCGATTTGAATCACTTGGAAGGGAGCGGGACGGGACGGGACGGGGCGGTCGGAGTAGTGGGCGAGTGTTTGGTAGGCCAATAGCCTATTTATAAAAACTACACGAATAGTTCTTTAAAAACTTCAACGATTTTGAGAAAGTTTAAATTTTTATACTGTTTGATTTAGTTTCTAAATTTTAGAAAAATGAATTATTTCGGTCGTTACCGTCTTATAATCTTCAAAATGTCGTTAGTCTCTGAAGAGTATTTCCACTCAAGGGTTGGAGTGCTTGTTCTCGAGGTTGAAACTTCAATTATTCTTTTAATGTTTTTGAGTCTTCGATTCTTCGGGAGTCGTTGCTCTTCAAAATAGTATTCAACCCTGAAAATTTTAGAGCGTTTTATGATTTTGTTTACTAGTCTTTTAAATGAAAGAGAACTCTTCTATTTTGTCGAACTTTTCAGTGGAGGTATGGTTTGCACTTTAACGACTTTTGAGCCTAACCATTGAACTCGGTTTTGCTCGCTTTGGGCTTACCTATTTGAACCATAGCTCGGTTTTCCTAAAGAAGTATAATATCAACAATTACAACGTAATGGTCGATCCGAATAATAATCGATGTATATTTAAAGTATCATGAGTAAAAAAATAAAAATAAAAAAAATAAAAAAAGAAAGAAAGAAAGAAAGAAACGACATGTAGAAAGGAACTAATCGGGATGTCGTTTGGTAGATTGTATTGCAAAAGACAAAACAAAAAGAAAGGCCGCGTGTGGCTGCTTGTCAGCCAATCCTTCGCATTCGACCGCCTGGGAAAGAGACAAAGGGCTGGCCGGTTTCTACTTCCGACGCCGGGAGAAAGTTGGGGCTACCGTATCCTTGCGCCATAGTCGTCATACCTCTAATTTCTCTTTCTCCGATTTCCGAGTCAACCTTTTCAATCCCAATTCAATTTCCATTGACCCTCAATTCATGCATAAACTCCTTATCCCAATCGGTTCAGAAGGGAATTAAACCCTTAATTCAGTGTTTCGTTGAAGATGAGTACTCAGCTTGCTTCTTCTTCTTCCCAGAGGAGGAACTCCCACACCCAGAAACGGGCTTCTTCCATCTCCAGCAGGAAGTCGGTCTCCGCCGATAATGGTAGCGCTAGTAATGGCAATGTTCCCAAACCGGGTTCTCCTCAGTTGCCGTGAGTGGTGTTTTTTCTTTTTGGTTTGTTTCTGGGTTGTTGTTGTTGTTGTTTTGATATTGTTGTGGTTTTGGGGATGATTTAGATCTGCTGCTGCTGGGGAAAGGACTGTGAAGAAGCTGAGGTTGTCGAAAGCGCTTACAATTCCGGAGGGGACGACGGTTTCTGAAGCGTGTCGACGGATGGCTGCTCGTCGTGTTGATGCTGTGCTGCTGACGGATGCGAATGCTATGCTTTCGGGTATTCTTACGGATAAGGTTTGTTTTGAGATGTTATTGTTTACTCACTTCTGGTTTCTTCCTAATATTGTGTTTTATTCTTAGTATTTTGTGTTTGTTTGTGGTGATGATTCTATCAGGACATTGCTACCAGGGTTATAGCAGAGGGGCTGAGGCCGGAGCAGACAGTCGTATCGAAAATTATGACGCGGAATCCCATTTTTGTTGCTTCAGATTCACTTGCCATGGAAGCCCTCCAGAAAATGGTTCAGGGTTGGTTTGTTTTTTGTCTATTCATTTTTCTGATGTTCTCATGTGTTTCAATATTTCCTGCAAGGATTAATTGGCTGATTGTTGCTTCTTAGATATTAATTAAACACAAAATCTCAATCACTTAAGCGGAGGAGGCCGTACAGTCTCTCTCTTTGGATGCATAAACGAGCCATTTACCTCCACACTTGTACGACGACGTTCTTAGGGAGGACAGAGTCTTGGTGAAAAAAATTTAGCTCTGCAATCTTTCCTAGAACTTGGTTTGATTTGTTATAGAAAAAGTTCAACCACTAATGACTGTCAGCTCCCTAGAGGATCCTACGGAGGACGAGGAAGATCGATCCCTATGCCAGTAGACTTTCCCTTCATTAGGAAGATCGTGGTGCCATCTCTTCACAGAAAATCAGATTTTTGGTCGGAAATGGGTGACCTTTTTAGTCAATCTTAGGGGCTTTGGTGCACTAGGGGAGACTTCAATGTGCCCAGATGGTTAAAAGGGAAGTCTAACACCGGTAGAGCTACTTTTTTGAGTTCAACACCTGTGGGGGTGGGTATTTGAACCTTTTACCTTTTGTTCGAGGATATAATGTCTTAAGTAGTTGAACAATGTTTAGCTTAACAACGATAGAGTTACTAGAAACATGTAAAAGTTTAACTCTTCAATTTTCTCTCTCGATCTTGTTGATCCTCCCATAGTATTGGCCCTTATACGTGGTCCAACCTCAAAGAGCAGCCTACTTTTGTCCAAAATTGATAGTTTTCTCATTCCTTGAGTTTGATTTAAAATTTGCTAATATTAAACAGTTCTGTGTAATTTCCCATTGCACACTGCTACATGTCGCCTAGTACCATTCTTGCTACATGTTCATCCTAGAGCTCGAGTGGACTTTTTCAAAGAATTGAGAGCAAAAAGGCTTTCTAGGCTGACTTGGGACCTTTTTCCTGGAGTTTTGAAGAAGGATTTTCTGAGATGGGACATTCCTACAAAAAGATAAGTGGAGTCAGGATTTGGCTTTGTGGGACTTGCACATCAGAAGGCAGTTTAAAGAAGAAGAAGCGGCAGCGTGGGCTGATTTGAGCTTCATCTTATACAGCAACCATATATCAAGTGAGGAAGATATTTGGGTGTGGCCATATGAGAAGTCTGGAAGTTTTACAGGAAAATCTCACTAAACAGCCTTGTTCCCTCGTCTACAAACAATCCTTGCCTTCATACAAGGCCATTTGGTCCGGTGTTTATCCAAAGAAGATTAACTTCTTCCTTTGGGAGTATGCACATTTGGCTTTAGACACAAATGATAGACTGGAAGGAAGTTCCCCTCCATGACTCTCTCTCCAAGTAGGTGTATCCTTTGCAAAGCTGATTTGGAGACTCAATCACACATCACGGCTTTTTGGGAACAATTTGAGGTTTGATTTTTAATTGGAAGTTGGCCCCACCAAAGGACCCCACACTCTTATCTTTACTCCTATTGGGACACCCTTTTACAGACATATAGCAAAGTAGGAAGGTTGGATAATATGGCTTGTATCAAGGTGGAGCCTGCTGCCTTTAGATGTGTAGTGTGAGGACCATGTTGATAGCCTTATTTCTATTTTTTCAATGGACACCCTTTTACAGACATATAGCAAAGTAGGAAGGTTGGATAATATGGCTTGTATCAAGGTGGAGCCTGCTGCCTTTAGATGTGTAGTGTGAGGACCATGTTGATAGCCTTATTTCTATTTTTTCAATGATCGTCTTCCAGAAGGAGAAAGATTTGGGATTCCTAGGTAAGGGCAATCCTAGATGCATATTTGGCCCGTCACCTTTTTTACAACCGTATATGTTGGCAAAGTCTTCGATATCCTCTATGCTAACATTGTTGCCAGTGGTCTTTGCTTTTTGGAGGTTGATGTTTTGTCCCAAAAAACTTCGGAAGTTTTTCACTATCTTAAATATGTCTTTTTGTGGAGAAGACATCTGATGAATCAGATAAGAGAGTTGTGTCATCCGCAAACTGCAAGTGGTTGATACTTAAGCCTTCATTACCAATATGGAAGTCCTTTACCTGCCTTACATATTCTGCCTTCGTAAGTAAGCGACTAAGCCAATCCATTACTATTATGGAAAGAATAGATGATAGTGGATTCCCTTGTCAAAGACCCCGTGTGGCATAGATTGTTACTCCCAGTCTTTCATTGATGATGATGGAAATTTTTTTGGAAGAGATGCAACCTTTTAGCTCCTCCTCCATTTTAAGCCAAAGCATTTTGCTGCAAGAATGTTTTTGAGGATAACGCAATCGACCTTGTCGAAAGCTTTTTCTAGATCAAGTTTGATGATTACGCATTTTTGTTTACTCCTTTTCCATTCATCTATAAGTTCATTTTCCACAAGGGATGCATCAAGGATTTATCGTCCCTCTACAAAAGTTGTATGCTGTCTAATAATCATGGAAGGGAGAACCCTTTTTGAGGCATTTTGATACCACCATTGCTATAATTTTGTATAGTCCAGTCTTAAGACTTGTGGCTCGAAAGTTAGTGACAGTGCAGGTTATCCATTTTCTTTGAGATCAAATAGATATATGTTTTATTTAAGTTTCCATCGATAATTCCATTTTGCAACAAAAAAAAAAAAAAAATGAAGTTATCATATAACACTCTCATGATATTGACTCTTAGAATGCTCCAACATTTTTTTTAAAGAATTCTAATGTAAATCGATCCAGTCTGGGAGTTTTGTCAAAACCCAGAATCTTTATTGTCTTCCATACTTCTTCTTGGTGAAATGCAACCTCAAGGGAAGCTGCTTGGTGTTGATCGATTGGGCTTCAGTCAAGATTGTGGGAAAATTTAGTGATTGTGTTTATCTTTGTATATAATGGCATATCAAGGGACACAAATTTTGAGACAACTTCCTCGTTGTTGTCTAACTTCTGCTTGTGTTGATAGAATTTCCATGATAGTACTCTTTTGTTTCTTTGAGGCCATTATGCAATGAAAAAATTTGGAGTTTGTGTCACCCTCCTCGAGCCATCTCTTTTTACACTTTTGTCTCCAAGGTTGCTCTTTCTTTGTAGCCAATGAAATGAGTTTGGCTTTCATGAGCTTTTTATGTGCGTTGAACCATTGTGATAGGTCGGTTTCCTCCATTTGGTCAAGAAGAGTAATTTTTATAAGGAGCTGGTTTCTGTTTGTGGAAATACAACCAAAAGCCCCTTGTTTCATTTCTTAACGTCATGTTTAACCATTTGAGTTGGTTAATGAATCCATGTCTTGGCCACCAGCGAAGGGCGTGGGGCCCCCATTTGAAGCAACCCATGGAGAGTAAAATTGAGGTAATGATCCATTGTAGGTCTATTCAGTCTATTACTAAATTTTCCAAGGAGACCTTTAGTACCAGAAATCATCGTGGCAACACTCAACACTCTTACCACCGAAAAAGATATTGAGAAAGAAATTATTGACTATTTTTCCCAACTTTATTACATCAATGAAGGTCCATGCTTCACTTTCAATTGCCTCGTGCGGGCTCCTTTGACCAAGACTTGGGAGGAACATCTTGTGGCCCTCTTCCATGTGGAAATCTACTGGGCAGTTGGGACTTGGCTGAGCTAAAATCCATTCTTCTTTAGTGTTGGACGGGGGTTTCCTCCACTCCTGGCCCCTAGGTTGTACCCTTCCCCTTTTTTCTTTTACCATTCACCATTTCTTGTAATAAGATCAAAAATCAAAGAAAAAGTTCTTCCTTTTGTGTGGCAAGTGCTTCATGGTAGTGTTAAAAATGACACCTTGGGCTGCATATTGAGGAAGTCAACCTCTTTGATATTGTTGCATTGTTGTATCCTTTGCAAGAGAGTGGCAGAGGACCTTATCACCTTTTGTGGAGATGTTATGTTGCTTCTTTGATTTGAGACTTCCTTTTCAAATGTTCAACGTCAGCTTGTCTCACTTCCATCTGTGTAGCTCTTTGCTGGAAGAGTTTCTTCTTCAGTCACCCTTTTGTGCTTGGAGTCGTTTTATGTAGTTTTTGCTATTTTGTAGGGTCTTTTGCTTGAAAGAACTAATCGTATTGGTTAAGAGATCTTGGGAGTCGGTTTTGGTATGTGTAGTGGATAGGATCATTTTAGATATATCTTGGCTGGGATATCATGTCAATGGGCATTCCATAGATTTTGATTGTACTTCAAAATTGATCCTTGATACCTCAGAGCTATTTTATGAGATGGCAGGTATGTCTGATTTTTTGATCTTCCGTGTCAACGTGTCTAGTGACATAAGCTTTTTTATTTTCTTTTGTTTAGATAATATGTATATTACGTCCCGTTTCATGCTATATATTAAATTGTTCTTTTAGTTGGTTATTTATAATATAAGTTGAAGTATTTACTTGAAGTTCATGCTATTATATATCTACAATAGCTAAGAATTTTTATTTTGGTTGAATTTTGCGCTATATTTAAGTATTTAGTATTTTGTTGGTAATGGGGTCTTTCTTCTTTGGTTTATCCTTTACCTGATCACTGAAGCATCCTACATTTTACCCGTCATTTTCTATAGGAAAATTTAGGCATCTTCCTGTTGTTGAAAATGGGGAAGTTATTGCTTTGTTGGATATTACAAAGTGCCTCTATGATGCCATATCAAGAATGGAGAAAGCTGCAGAGCAGGGTAGTGCCATTGCTGCTGCTGTTGAAGGGGTGGAACGCCAGTGGGGAAATGATTTTTCTGGTATGTAGTGGTTAGCTTATGTACTTCTTTATGTGACCTTATTGCATATCTTTTATGACTTGTGTTATGATGGTGGATTTAATCAAATTTATAAGTATCCCTTAGCTTGAAATAGTAATTTCATAACTTATTTATCATCATTTCAGCTCCGTATGCTTTTATAGAGACGTTGAGGGAGCGGATGTTTAAACCTTCCTTATCAACCATCCTTTCTGAAAATACCAAGTACTTTGTCTAGCCTTCTTATTTCTCTGTAATTTGAAGAATATATGTAATTCACCTTTGGATCATTACCAAGTTTTGTAGCTTTTTATGTTTTCAGAGCTGCAATCGTTTCAGCATCCGATCCCATATCTGTTGCTGCAAAAAAAATGCGGGACTTGCGGGTTAATTCTGTTGTAATGACAATGGGAACCAAGATTCAAGGAATCCTCACGTATGACACGTCTCTCTAATATTTATTCTATGACTAGCTTTCTCCTTTTGATACTTGTGCCTAATAATTTTACAAGCCAAATACTTCATTATTTGTTTTGAATGAGGTTTTAGCCACCGACATAAAAGCCTTTGTATAGTAAGTTGGTAGTATAGAACAGTCGTTGTGTGTAACTTGACTTATACATTGTAGTTCTCCTCGTCGAAGTAAGGAGCGCAATAGGGATTGGATAACTATTCATTAGATGATATGATTGGTTGAGGAAGGGACAAGAATCCAGCTTTTGTTATCCTTATCCTAATTCCTCTTCTTCTTCTTGGAGATGCGATTTAGACTGAGTGGCTTCTACTCCTGAGAACAGAATCATTTTGTCCATGTGATGTCTTTACAGGAGATTTGTTGCCATGTCGACATTTTGGGTTTTGGATGTACTTTTGTCGGTTGTTTGACGGCTGGTCTAATGTGGATGTTGGGTACAAAACTTTTGCATTTAATTCATCATGATTCAGAAGATCATCTTTTTTCTCCTGCATATTTATTTACTTTATTGTTATGATCATGTGTTTGCTTATGTTTTCTGCAACTGTACTGCAGTTCGAAGGACATTCTCATGCGAGTAGTGTCCCAGAATGTTTCACCTGAGTTGACTCTGGTGGAAAAGGTTTGCTTTTGAAAAGCTATTTTTACTTATTACTCTGTGCCCTTGGAATGTGGAATCATCAATTACCGTGTTGCTCTGTATTTACTGATCCTAGTGTATTTGATTCCTTTTCCAATCTGCCAATTCTCAAGGTAATGACCCAAAATCCCGTGTGCGCGACTGTCGAGACAACAATCCTTGATGCATTGCACATAATGCATAATGGAAAGTTTTTGCATCTTCCTGTTTTAGATAGCGGTGAGAACTTTCTCAGAATCTGAATTCTACAATGTGAATATATCCTCCCCCGATGCGAACCACTTAATGATAACATCATTTATCGTGCAGAGGGGAGTGTTGTTGCTTGTGTAGATGTTCTGCAGATCACGCACGCTGCAATATCCACGGTAAAGCGTTTCTGTCTCACTCACAGTTATGTAATCATTAATCTTATCAAAATAGCTAATAGCTTTCTATGGGCATTTCTTGGTGCTCTTGCAAATCTATAGTGGCAAGATTCATGTGCATATTTTTGCATGAAATTGTACTCGTTGAAGAAGCTTCTGACTTAGTTGTGATAATTAGTTTTCATTAGGAGGTATTAAACGTCAATTGCTGATAAAGTTTTTTGTGATTCAAGGTTGAAAGTGGGTCTGGATCTGCTAATGATATGGCAAGCACAATGATGCAAAAATTTTGGGATTCAGCACTTGCTTTAGAACCACCTGATGATCTTGATACACATAGGTACGAGGTCTCAATAGTTATGTACTTGTCTGATTGTTTCTGATTGTAAACCTTCGTGGGAATTTTGCAGTGAAATGTCTGCACTAATGGCTTCTGAAGGGACACTAAACTATCCATCTCTAGGTCTTGGAAACTCGTTTACTTTTAAATTTGAGGATCTGAAGGGTCGGGTACATCGCGTAAATTGCGGTGAGTGTTTATGGTTTTTATGAACTCCCTTGCTGGAAATAGTAACAAAGCTTCCAAGTTGAGGCAACAAAAACTGAATTTTCGCAAATCTACTCCATATTTTGCTCTTCATTGTGAAAAAATGTACTGTGTTGTTCCAACCACACTTCCGCATCTGATGGTAGATGTGATGTCCCACATTGGTTGGGAAGGAGAACAAACCACCATTTACAAGGGTGTGGAAACCTTCCCCTAGCTGACGCGTCTTAAAGTCTTGAGGGAAAGCCCGAAAGGGAAAGTCCAAAGAGGACAATATTTGCTAGCGGTAGGCCTGGGTTGTTTCAAATGGTATCAGAGCCAGACACTGGACGATGTACCAGCCTTCTCGCTGTTCCCTGAAGGGGGTAGACACGAGACAGTGTGACAGTAAGGACGCTGGGCCCCAAAGGGGGGTGGATGTGGGGGCGGTCCCACATCGATTGGAGGAAGGAAAGATGCCAGCGAGGACGTTAGGCCCCGAAGGTGGGTGGATTGTGATGTCCCACATTGGTTGGGGAGGAGAACGAAACATTCTTTATAAGGGTGTGGAAACCTCTTCCTAGCAGATGCGTTTTAAAAACCTTGAGAGAAAACCCGAAAGGGAAAGCCCAAAGAGGACAATATCTGCTAGTGGTGGACTTTGGCGGTTACAAGTCATTTCTATTTTTTCTCTTCCGGTTGCATTTAGGCCTCTTATACCTGCCATCAGATATATATTAACATGCGATATACTCTCCTAAAGAAACAGAAGTTATATGATAGATTCTACCCAGTGGAACTAATAATTAATAATTGTTTTTTTAGGCACCGAGACCTTAGACGAGTTGGTATCTGTCGTGATGCAAAGGGTTGGTGCGACTAATGGTGCGAGTCGTCCTGTGCTTTTGGTATGCTTCTTACTGCTTTTCTGACTGGAATTTTTTCGAGTTCATTGCGGAAGTCGATAGTTCTGTTTCTTTCCAGTATGAAGATGATGAAGGTGATAAAGTAGTTCTTTCTACTGATGGCGACCTCTCCGGTGCTGTAAATCATGCCAGATTCACAGGACTAAAGGTAGTTAATTTAGTTAAAGTTTTCAACTTACACGTTCTGTTTTTTTTTTCTTTTGTGATATCATGTTCTTATTTGAATTATTCATAATTACCCTAAAGACTTATCTTCAAAGGTTCTAGCATTCCTTGCCTTCCACAAATGTCATAAGAGAGCTCTGAAGGCACAACTTGCCACCACCTTGGCTTTTCCTTTCAAATTCCACCCACTCCGCCCACTATAACAGCTCAAGCCTACCGCTAATAGATATTGTCATTTTTGGACTTTCTATTCTGGGTTTCCCCTCAAGGTTTTAAAACGTGTCTGCTGGGGAGAGGTTTCTACACCCTTATAAGAAATGCTTCGTTCCCCTCTCCAACCGATGTGGGATCTCACAATCCACTCCCCTTGGGGCCTCGGTGCACATCGCCCGGTGTTTGGCTCTGATATAATCTGTAACAGCCCAAGCTCACCACTAACAAATATTGTCCTCTTTGGGCTTTCCCTCAAGGTTTTAAAACCCATCTGCTAGGGAGAGGTTTCTTGTAACAGCCCAGATCCACCGCTAGCAGATATTGTCCTCTTTGGGTTTTTCTTTTCGGGCTTCCCCTCAAGGCTTTAAAACGCGTCTTCTAGGGGAAGGTTTCCACACTCTTATAAATGGTGTTTTGTTCTCCTCCCCAACCAATGTGGGACATCACAATCCACCCCCCTTCGGGGCCCAGCGTCCTCGCGGGCACTCTTTCCTTCCTCCAATCGATGTGGGATTGCCACCAAATCCACCCCTCTTCGGGGCCCAACGTCCTTACTGGCACACCGCCTCGTGTCTACCCCCCTTCGGGGAACAGCAAGAAAGCTGACACATCGTCCGGTGTCTGGCTTTGATACCATTTGTAACGGCCCAGATCCACCGCTAGCAGATATTGTTCTTTTTGGGCTTTCCCTTTCGGGCTTCCCCTCAAGGCTTTAAAACGCGTATTCTAGGGGAAGGTTTCCACACTCATATAAATGGTGTTTTGTTCTCCTCCCCAACCAATGTGGGACATCACTCCACACCCTTATATTAAATGCTTCGTTCCCCTCTCCAACCGATGTGGGATCTCCCATTCACCCCTTTCATAAGCCAACCATCCACCTTTTTAAGAAGAAACAGAAATACCCAGCAGCTCTACAACATGGCTGCACGATCGAGAAACAAACTCACAATTAAGATACAAATAATCAATTGATTCACCCTCTGTTAAGTGCAGCCTACAGTCCGACGGAGATGGGGACAACCCCTATACGTTCTCTGTAATTTGTCATCTGTGTTAAGGCTTCTGTAGCCCAAAGACCTGAGAAATACTTTTAACTCTCGTTGAGCGCAATTGTTCTTCCAAATCAACTTTGTTAAGGTCGTGCACACAGCTAATCTTCTCCACCAAAGCCACCCAACTATTCTCTCCATCAAATTGAGCACTTCTAAGACCCACATCCACGCTTGACTATCACCAACTGCATCTGCACCTGGTTTATATGTTCAACCTCTCCAATTCAAATGTCTGATACCGATTGAGCACTAATTGTGCAAGGGTCACCCTACCTCCTTTAGACAAGCCCACCACGTCCAAACATCCAATTTTGCCGAGTTCATCAATCAACAGCTCCCAGAATGCTGCTTACTTCTCCTCGTTTAGATATTTAGGAGAAGTGTGTTTAGTTTGGATAATGTGCATCAAGAGGATGATACAAAGCTTAATCTTCTAATATCTTTTGAATTCTTATCCTTTACTTCTGTTAGCCATGTAGGTTATTGTTATGTCTATTATCATTGTTAAATTTGCTAATTTGTGCAGTTCAGCTAGTTTGTTTCTATCTATTACAAGCTGCATTGTAGTTAGTGACTTTCCTCCACACCAAAGTTACACTAGAGCATTTGGATCCTCTAGTTTTATTAAATTTCAGTACCCATTTGTCTTGATGCTGAAATCAAAGGAATCTGTTATATCTAATATACTGCTGAATTTAATATCTTTGAACAGACTTGGTATTGCTCTCCTGGTTCATAATGTAATTAATGTCTGTATCTTTTGTGTACCGTCTTCGAACTGTTATTCTGGCGTTTACGTTCTCTAGCAATTTAAATTTAATGGTACTGCAGGCAGAATATGAATGCATTTTTATGCCATTCTAGTTTACTATTTTAAATTTTTAAGCAATTGACAAGTAGCTGATTGGTTTACTCGTTGGAAAAAACTTGCAGGTTTTAAGGTTGCATTTGGATTTTCCTGAGTCGATCCAGCATAGTGAAGCCCAAATGGATGCACCATTAGACCAGAAACCAGGATCCGTACCTTTATATTCTGGTGCTTTTGCTGCTGCCATTGCTCTAACAAGCATTGGTGTATTGTTCTATTTGAAGCGCTCTAAGATACAAAGTTAAAAGACAAAATTATTGAAACAGAAACTGAGATATAAGTTGCAACACCAGTAGGGTTTTGGTAAAATAATTCACACGAGATGATGACATTTGAATACGGTGAAATCTGATGTCGAGATCAGAAAAACGTGTCGTTTTTATGACCTTTAGAAGCTATGGGTCTCTCTGTTCTTCAGAAAAGAATACTGAGTGAGCCATATGCTTTCACATATGTGATGTATTAGACAAGAACTATGAGTGGCATTATGTAAATGGAACACCTCTGCTCATTTCAGGAGGTGACTAATTTAAGTTTGGATTACTTTCTCCCCCATGGACGCTTTGTCTGAAAGCAATGATTGTTGATATGCAAATGACCTGAATGAATACGTTGATATGCAAATGACCTGAATGAATACAATGGGAGCTTATAAGTTTATGTTGTAATAGGAACAGAGATTACTTGCTCCATACCTTAGCTTTCTAAAATACATTTGATGACCCTTTTTTGTTATGATCTTGTGCTAGATAACAGGTGTCATGGTCATTCTTGTTCGAGATGTATTGTCTATGGTTGCATGTCAGATGTTTTGGTCATGCTTGTCCAAGACGTGTTGTCTATGACCGTATGTTAGATGTCTTGGTCATGCTTGTTCAGGACGTGTTGTCTACGACCGCATGTCAGATGTCTTGGTCATGTTTGTCCAGGACGTGTTGTCCATGACTGCATGTCAGATGTCTTGGTCATGCTTGTCTAGGACATGCTGTCCATGACTGTATGTCAGATGTCTTGGTCATGCTTGTCTAGGACGTGTTGTCCATGGCTGCATGTCTGTTTCAAACCCTTTTTACACGCTTTCATCTTAGATAGACCTTTACTACTTCATGTTGTGTTAAGATGAAGTGTATGATTATACACCAAAATCATGTTTACACCTGTGTCAGGGCTAAAATGCTCCAAAATGTACTATAGGGGATATGACTAGTCGTCACTTCTTTTTACTCAGGTTATATGCTATCAAAGTCGTTGCCTAATCGCTTTTAGCTTATAACATTGTTTTCTTTCAAATTGTTTTCAACGCATTTCCTCTCTTGCGTTTTCCAAAACATTTCTCTCAAAGGCAACTTGAGATTCAAGCATATGCTAACATTGTCTGCAAAGTTCGAATTCTTCATGGTTGACTTGTTCGTTGGGTTAGAGCAAGTGTTGCTCAATCGTTGTTTCGTTATTGCAAGAGTGCGATTATGACACCAGACACATCTAATTAATTTATGAATCAACTGTACCCCTATGTATATAAGAGTATATACGTGTAATTGATATAGCAATCCAATATATAAATATCGAACAATTGAGTTGGGTCTTTATTTTTAAATAAAAAAAAAATGGATAAAAATAAATTACTTTAAAAAAATTCAATAGATTAATAAATTTATTTCTCCTCCATCTGCCAGACGCTACGTGGAATTAGAACAGCCACTTTCCGAGCTTCTCTTCTCTTCTACAAAGTACTTGGCTCGTATGACCACTTCCCATTTCTTATACTGAAAACTCTGTAATTGTTGCACTCATCCATGGCGCCGATCGCATTATCTCTATCTGTCGCTCTTGGAACCGTCAATTGTAAGCTTTCTTTCTTTCTACCGAACAAAAAATTGGGTTTCAAAGGGTTTTATTTGTTGTGAACAGAATTTTATGGCTCCCTTTTGGAAGATTTCAGTTATGGTTTCTGGAAATTGCGTGCTTATGGTCCTTTGGATTCATTCGTTTTAGTTAGCTTCCTTTAAACGTTAGCCATTGGTTTTATTTGGATTTCTTCGGGAGCTTGATGTAATGGCAAGCTAGGAAGGTCGATACTGGCATGTATGTCTTGCAAATGTTTGGACTAGTTAGCTGCCTGTTGAGATCTGTCGATTCGAGCTGTTCGTTGAAATATGGCTGCCAATGAACTATCAGCGTTTTTTTGCATTTTTATCCATGGGTAACTTAGTGATCAATGGAACCAAGGAAAATATACGAAGTGTTGGAATGGATTTCAAACTATGGTGCTTAGCTACCTAGGATTTAATATCTTACAGGTTTCTTTAGCAACTTAGATGTAGTAGTTTCAAGTGGTTGTTCCATGAGATTAGTTTGGGCCAACATAAGTGGGCAAGATCACTGAAAGTAATCAAATAATAATAATAATTTTCAACATCTGCATTACCTAGAAATTTACTCCATAAAAAGTGAGAGGAAATCTGTGGTTTCAAATCATGGTGATTTTTCAACGCTGATGCTTATCTTTTGGATGGCTATAGTTTCAGGTGTGGCAAGGCGATCTGGAAATTTTTTTCCATGTTCTTCAAGAAAACTTCGAACCAATTTATGTCGATTCTCAAGCTCTCAAGGGAAGGGGATAAGATGTGCTATTTCAAGTTCATCAAAAAACAATGGAGGTGTTGCAGAGATATCTGGAAGTGAATCGGCTAAGCGCTTCTATGCCTGGTCAGATTACAAGGTCAGTGTTCTAGATGGTTCGAAGAAAGCAATTTTGCTCATTTATTCTGAAAACATTGAACTTGAATTGGTGCATATTTATGTAAGATACAAGCCTACTGAACAATATGCACTCCTGTAATTGAGCTACTCAGGAATTTTGTTCTTTCGGCCATTTGGCTATCTCAGAGTTGAAGCAGATATGAGGCTGGCCAAGTTTTTATGACGTCATACTAGTTCATTCATGTAGATGATTATTATTATTTTTTTTCAGTGTAATTTGGCCTGGATTAATTATTTGTTCTTGATTACTCCTTATTTGAAGTATATCTGGCAGTCACTTAAAAGCTTAGCTACTGATGTCTGGATATTTCTGTACTTCAGTAATTTAGCTTTGTTGTCTTACGCAGCCGTGGGGATGTGAAAGTTGGTATGTTTAACCAAGCTGGTCCAGGTCTTAAAGATTTAGCCGTTGTAGTTAGGTGGTTTGTTTGGCTTTTTAGCTACTTTAGTATAATTATTCATTGTATAGGCTGTATGCATTCATTCCTGATTAAATAAAACTTATTTCCCTTCCACTACACCAGCTACAACTGTTAATTTTATGTACAGTACGATCCATATGATTTATGCATCTACTTATTACTTCTTTATTAAGTAGGATTTCACTTACATGGTAAGTGATTGGGGGACTTGTCTAGTGTTAGGTGTCACAACCATACTATGAAGAGAGAAGGTTGTGACCCTGCCATGATGCAACCGAGGAGGACGGTGCATCACTGAACACACCAAAGTTATGTGCATTGAAGCCAAGCTGAGGCACATGTGAGACAGAGGCAACGATGTCAACATGAGGGACAATGATAAGCTTGATGAAGGGCCGGGAGGGCACCGGGCCTTAACCTCAAAAGTTGGGGTTCCAAAAGGAGTTTAGGCATGTGGTTCTAGAGTTATGTATGAAAGATGGAAGCTCGCCAAATTTGGTGTCAATTAGACACCGGATGGATGCTCCACGACACCATATGACCGTTTGCTAAAATCATGTCTATACATGCCAAAGTGGAAATGCCTCAAAATGTACCTTAGGAGAGGTATGGTGTCGACTCTCCACCACCCCTAGGCCCTATGTCCTAAGAGAGCTACCTTGTGGCACATGCGTGTGTCACAATGAGGACGAGCGTTTCGAGACAAGTGTCTCAGACGACTTCCTTTAAAATGGGACTTTCAAGGACAATGTCAGATGGCACGAATGTGTGGACATTGCGCCTCCGCCCATGTATCGGAGGTTGGATTATGCACCCGCTATTTGGAACAAATTCTGTAAATGTACTAGCATGGACACGATAGGGGTCCAATGCCTCGATATAACCCAGATGGATGGATGGATGTTCGGGATGACCCGATGATATGAACAACACATAGGTCCTTTCTTGATGACCATGACAGAGCGAGCTATGACGACCAATGACGTCTTGGGACTTGGGATAGCATCAAGGCATGTAGGTCATGTTGATTGGAAACTGAGATGGACACGATGAGATGCGATGTTGCATTGAGAGACTTTGGCCCTGAGTAGAGGCAAGGTCAAGCCGGATGACTTGGCCTAGTGTAGAGGCAAGTCAGTTGGGTCACAGAAGATTAAACATGCATGCATAGGTCGCATGAGTTGTGTTCGGTTGGGCGAAGACAAACCTCAAAGGAGAATGAATCGATCGTCTTTCCCTTGTTTACAGTTCAAGAATAACTCACAAGAATAAGAATTAAGGAGAAAGATCAGAGTCAAATAGTTCAACCCTTGGTTACAGGCAGGAGAGTCCAAGAGTGAAAGACAAGGATCAAGATCAGTGAAATCAGGGACAAGTTGATTGAGTTCTGTTCGTAACGTAAACTCTCTAGATAGAATAAGGAGTCTTCTGTTCCTTCAATCAAAGAGCTACTTCACCTAGTTAGTTTGTTCAAGAAGCTCGAGACAAATACAATACATCATGACTGACTCTCATCTTCTTCTCATCCAGTCTATTTACCGAGTTCAATAATCATCCTCCTGTTTACCTCCTTCAATCAGTCGTGAAAGGTTCAGGATCATTCTTGAAAACCTCTTTGATCCTCGGGTTAAGATCTTCGTTTTCACAGAGTCATCCCTATACACAAGGTCATCCCTATACACTTGGTACCAATCTTCTAACCCCTCGAGACTTTCTAAAACTGAACTTTGGTTTCCCCTATTCCGGGCTAAGGCAATTTCCTGAAATTGATCCATATTAGATTGCCTCCATATGCAAAAGGTCCAACAAAGCCACAAGGACGGGCAAAAAATATATATGGGACTTGGGTTCCCCTCAAGGCTTGTCGTGAGCATGTCAAAATCAAGACGTTGCATGGTTGGAAATGTACGACCGTGATACTAAGCACAGGAAAAATGAATTAGGTTAGTTCTTTGTCATCGTGAGCTAACTCAACCTTGGTTTCCTTCTTCAACACACTCATGAAATATCTGTTAGTACATTCATTTCCCATAAATTGCACTCATGAAATATCTGTTATTTCGTTCATTTCCCATAAATTGGCTGCCAAGAGTTCAAACTGTGGTTAATAGTCATGCACAATTAGTAGATGTTGGTGCAAATTCATAACTTTCTTGCTTATGGTAGATTTATGTTATAACTTGAGCATTCAGAGAATTAGTTATCGGAGTTCATACTGGGACCAATAGCCTTTATATGCCATCTGAACTATGCCAGAGCTTCTATTTCAAGGCCGACCATTGTCATGTGACTCATGACTAGTTGGTCTGCCACCAGAATCTAACTCATCAATAAAGTTACACTTTGACCACTATCCATGAAGGGGGTTGA